CTCCGCCCGCAGCGCCGCAGACCCGACGACTTTTGCGCTCGACGGGAAGGCCCCATTGAATTGTTCAACGGTGTTTCAACGGGCCCCCCAGGGCTATTCAACGGGTACAACGACGTTGAAAAAATTCCATGGGCCGTTGAATGAACACACATAAGATGCTACTCCTACTCGCAGCTCTTTTTTCGGTTCCTTATCCGAGGGTACCATGCTATTATATGCCCTACCATTCCGCAATTCAAGCATTGACCATTGTCCATTCTTTCCTACCATGTGTCCTAGGAAATGCTCATCTTCTCCTAGAGCTTCCCACCAACTATGCGATGATAAGGTGGAAAGGAAAGCGGTTTCCTCCTATATCTATTTTCACATTATTATTGTCACCCTTATTGACAATAGCGGCGGTGACATCACCCTTTCTGATTCGCCACCCGCATTTACTTGTCCCTCAATGAAAAAAAATTCTGAAATTTAATAATTATTCTATAATAAAATTACAATCTAAATTTCAAATTTTCATTCCATTTTAAAAAATGTCATTCCAATTTTAAAATTTTTCATCTTACTTGCAAACTTTCATTCGAAGAATAGGGTATCCCTTTTTATTTGGACTGCTCGCTGGAGATGGAATGAAAGTCTGGATGAGTTCATGAAATATTTTAATTTGACTATCATTCTAAGTAAGTAAGGATTTTCAGTCATAAATAGGTTAGTCCAATCTAAATTAGAAGATATTTGTTATAGTAGAATGAAAATTTAATTAAAAATTTTCGTAAACTCGTTCAAACTTTCATTCCATCTTGAACAAATAGATGTAGTTGGAAGGGAAAACTCATATTTAGACGGGAATTTATCAAATAAAACTGGAATTTTTTTAATGAGACAGACATTGGGATGATAATTTATAAATACACAGAATTTTATTTTTATGGAATGTTTTTTCAACTTACATTTCTCCTGGAAATTTTTCTGTTGCTCGCTTTTTTCGATGAGCCACTTCTTCATTGTGTCATTGTCGAACATAATGAGTGTGTGGTCCTGTCTCTTTTGTTTTCATACAACTCTTATCCCTGATCCTCCTCTTTGGGCGGTCATCTATTTTCGTTGCAACAAACATTCTACCTCACAAAAAAATGTGTCAACAAACGTACAGTGGCATTGAGATAAGGGGGTGAGTTCGTTCAAATTTTTTATCTATTGTGGTCTTGTCCCAAAATCTTTCTTTAATCGTCTTCATAAATTCTCTCAACGGAAATGTCTTTGGCCAATCACGAATAATCTAAACAATCGCTTTAAACAATACCCACACCTTGGCGTCTTTGCCAAGACATAAGGTGACGCAACCTGACTATCTTTATCTATTGGGGACATTGAACAATATGTTTGTGCTTCAGCAATCCACAACAATATGTGTTCTCCTTTCTTACCTTTGTAAGTGAATGGAAGCTTCATTTTTGCTTTCTCCCTTCGTACCTCTTTCTTCGGGGTTTCTTCTTTGGGGGGCGGTCTTCATTGCATCTCTCAGTAATTTATTTCTCGTAGAGGTTTTTGTTCTTCCTCAATCTTTTCTTGTTCTTTCCTGGTCATCGGTTGCTTTTGCTTAACCGCAATGGTCAACGTTGCCAACTGGGAAAAATGCAGATTCTTATTGGCTATAACCTCATCTAGCTTCATTTTCAAATGAACCTGATACGATATTATTTTCTGAATGAGATTCACAACGTCACTTTCTTCTACCACTTTCACTCTATTTCGGATTTCGTTCAAAAAAAAAAAAATTCTCCCTTTGTTGTTGTATAACTTATTTCTTCTTTTTTCTGTCCGCAATGCTTCTTTCAACTGTCTAATATTTTTGTCAAGTACATCGTCATTTATTTCCTGTCTTGTTTCCCTACTTGTTTCTCCTTCTTTTTTTTTATCTTCTTCCTCAACTTGCTGAACATTCTTGACCAACATTTCGATGACAAATTGGTCCACACTCTGACGGGTCATGGTTAAGACCAGGTTCATTTCTCCCACCACACGGACGAGATCAACTATCATCGCAACCTGATCCAACTGTTCCTCGAAACCACACAGATCAAACTAACTTTGAACATGGGTTTTTGCATCGGGGTCAACCTTATGGATTTCAGTCAGGGTCTGCTGCAATTTCTATTTTTCTTAGTCCTTGCCGGTGTTCACTTGCTCGCGTGTGCGCAATTCGTTTTCTACATATTACGTAAGTAACAGCAGGTGGAGAAACAAGGGAATGAACTTTGTAAACCCAGGCAGCCTCAGACTTCTCCACAAGGAAGCCATCCTTGGAGATACCGGAAAACCAGACTATAACATGTTATTCGTTAAAACAGTACATTATTGTGTGTATTATTTTGAAACGAATTTATGACACAGTGTATAGTCTGGTGTAGTATTCCAGATCCGGATACATCCGAACAAGGAGTAAAGCAGCTTTGAGGCGAGGAGCACAGTCAATACATATATCTGCTGCGCTCCTCTCGTGGTTCGGATGTGTCCAGATGTGGAACACCAGAGCAGAGTATACACTGTGTTATACGCCTCAGAGTCAGTACATATATCTACTACCACTGTGTTATATGTACTACTGCCTCAGTACATATATCTCCTGTGTCTAGATGTGGAACACCAGAACAGAGTAATATATTACACTGTGTCATAGTTTTACTTGGAGTTGAGCATCCCACTCATCCGAATCAGAATAGTACAATGACACAAACTCGAGTTTGTGAGTAAAACGAGTTGTGGCTCTTCACAGACTTAGAGGAGCAGGATGACCTGTATTTAGAAGTGTGAGGACCAGAATGAATTGGAGTTCTGCACCGATGATCGTGTACATGTATAGAGCGAGAGAGATAGAAAGAGAGAGACAGACAGAAAGAGCGAGAGAGAGAGAGACAGAAAGAGCGAGAGAGAGAGAGACAGAAAGAGTGAAAGACAGAGAGTCTTAGAGAGACTGTACTTAATTTTCGGGAGACGCAAGGTCGAGCACACGCGTAGACCATCAGCCTCGTTTTTTAAAGCATTTTAGACGATCGTTGTAGGAGAGCAGCAAGGTAATGTGAATTTCCAAGATAAGCGAAGCTCGGATGTATCCGAGATCATATGAGATAGACAGACAGAGGAAGTCCGCAAGAAATGGTCATGTACATTTGAAGAGCGAGAGATATAGAAAAAGAGAAAGAAACAGAAAGAGCAAGAGACAGAGTGTCTCAGAGACTGTACTTAATTTTCTCGAGACGCCGCACGAACGGCGCAGGGTCGGGCACACGCGGAGATCATCAGCCTCGCTTTTAAAAACATTTCAGACTATCGTTGCAGAAGAGCAGCAAGGCAATGTGATTTTCCCAGATAAGCGAAGTTCGGATATATCCGAGATCACAGGAGATTGACTGAGAGGAAGCCTGCAAGAAATGACATATTAGCACGCCAGAGGGCTGAGAGATGGAAAAGACAAGCACCGTATAGTCACCCACAGCATTTCGTGTTACGGACGTATCCGAAGTGTCGAACTAGTATAGACCCTTCAGTTTGAAGCTTCCCCTGTGCTTTTTGGGACACAGTTCAAGAAGTATCTTTTGCGAAACTGAGAGAGAGAGAGA